ACCCAAAATAATTAAGATTAATTAGGACCTGTGATTTCATCTAAGGGTATGGGTTTAATTTGCTCTTCAAATCTAGAATTCATGCCTTCGCCGATGTTCATATAAAATAATGGACCAGCATTGCCTTAGTAGTAATTGGCAATGATATGATCGAGCAATTCAGTACATATTTATAACAGTGACTTTTTGAAGGTAAGACAATTTTGTGTTATGACCTTTACAAACTCTCTTAATTTATTCGATAACATAAGTGTACTCTGATGAGAATGAGGTTATTTTGAATGATCAAAATTCAGATTTTCAATCAATTAATTGAGGGTTTAAAATAATAAATTTCTAGTTAGCTACTATGATACAACTCTTATGGTTTCTGGTAGTTATCTTAACAAAATAAATGAGCATTCCACGATTCTTTGGTCAGGGATGTAGGGTAATCCAATTAATTAATTTGATTTTTAATAATCCTCAAATTTAGGTCTAAAGTTCTGGATTTCAGTTAGTAATTCAATGGAAATGGATCTGCAATTCAGTCCCTCAGATGGTATCATAGTTCCTCCATAAGCTAAGTATAATTCAACAATTACATTAAACAATTTGTATTTTTCGACGGCGATCATCCTCCTTTTGCAATTAGGTCTACTTACCAAACTTCTCATACACGAACTCTTCAAACAAACGAATTATAACTGTATAATAGACATTATATGCCCAGGCCATATTCTCATTGTTATTTTTCATATGATTAGTCAATATTCTCTTGTACTTCTTGAGACAATTGCCCATGAGTAATTTAATCCAGATGAACTCATGTTGCTGAATGTAGAAATCTTTGAAATTCATATTCTCCTCAGCTGTGAGCATGTACCTCTTATTTAAGCCTTTGAAGAGATGAGATAGCCATTTAATGGATTGAGGCTTCTCTCTCAAATATTTGGCTACGATATCCTCTGTCATGGCATACAGTGAATTCAAATCAGGTTTGGTTTACTTGAGTTGTTGAATCTATTCGCAATGATCATCTGCTAATTGAATGAAAAACATTTCAGATAAGGTTGTCACAACGTTTTCTACGTCCTCTTTGATCTTGTGAAATGTGGCTGTTGTGAGGGTTTGGATGATATTATGAAAATTGCTTAACCCAATAAATACCTTGGTTACTGATGAGATCAACTCCTCGTCCTAATACATCAATAAGTCTTGATCACACTAACGGGATTGTAATTTCATGTCCAATGCCATTCCTTCTGGTATTTGATAATTGTATAAATCATGGTCGAATTAAATAGGCATTTGATAATACCCCAACAACACCATCTTTACTATCGAGTAACTATGTTAAATCGAAGATTGTTTGAATAGATATGTGGCCAATTGCTATTCCAAGAAATTCTGGAGAATCTCCACTGCACATCTTACTGTTTCAGAAAGGTTGATCTTTAAATTAGACTACAAGCCTTCAATTTGTACTTCCAGATATTGGTTTCTAATGAAGGGATTGTCAGTGTGAGTTCTTTTGATCTCGATGGGCCATTCTGATTTTCTAACCAAGGCTCCCAATTTCGATAATATTTTTAAGGATTTGAAGGAAGGATCCAAAAATAAGTTCACTTGTTTTGAATATATGTCTGCCATTTTGTATTCTGAAGGGAAGGTTAGCAATTTTTCAATGAATGGTTGGAGGAGATCCCCAAAGAATTCTCTCATTTCTTCCATACTCAAATTAGTTACAATGTTCTCCAATAGCATTAGTGTCTTTTGAATTACTTGATTTTCAATAGTGGATATATTGTGCAAGGCTCTAAATAGACATTAAGCAAAAACTGGGTATTGTTTGGCCAAATTAATTTGAATGGTCTTTTGCAATGGGAAATTAGCGATCACTTCTGCCACTATATCTTAAATCTCCACTATGCCTGTTTAAAACAATTCAAACATGTTTAAAACAATATTAACTCCACTCAAATTCAATTTATGATACAACTCATATTGTTGCCTTTGAAGGATCTGTTACTTATCATTTCGATCATATTTGTCACACAATTATTGGAAGTACTTAGACAATCCTTCTCCTTAATCGTTATTCTATATTCTTTTAACCAACGACAATAACAATCCTAGAAAGTCTATGGGATAATAAGTTTCATGTGACTTCTTTACAAAAAACAATATCAATTACTTCACCAGGGGTTTTACTATTGGCTCTTCATTTTATTAGCATTTCACTCTGGGAAATAATCTAATTGGAATTCTTAGCAATTTCTGTATTAATGAGATGTACTCATCTTAATCTTTTTATGTTACATTTTATTATTTTTGATTGCTCATTTATATCAATTAACCTCCTCTACAATAGCCGAATCTGGATGGCAATTCTGGAGTAGTTTGCAGTTCTCTCAAATATAAATTCAATAGAAATTCGATGTAATACTTCACTGACAATTTAGGTTGAGCTTAGTTTTCAGGATGACTCAATATCTAGAGGTGATCCTACAATAATAATGGAAGACAATGTGTTTCTGGACATGTCTTAATTAAGTTGACTGAGATCTTTAGCAATAATTTTGAATTAGGTTCAAAGATGTTCTTAAAATTAATGGGATCTTGAAACTAAATGAAGAATTGCATGAATAGAGGTATTGTTTTCTTTTTATAATCCAAAATTTCAAAATGGTTTCTCTGATGATCATGCAATTCATCAAATATCATCAGACCATTTTTCATTATCTTAGACATGTAGTGACATTGCAGATTACTTAGATATGGTTTGTTTTCATTTGAAGCTTACGCTAAGGGTGCCAACCTCTAGGAAATTTAAAAGTTGGGTCTATTCTTATACTTCATTACGATGTCCTTGTTTGTTGTGGTCACAAAGTGAAGTAACTTCTGTAGGATTTCATTCAATTAATCGAATATCTTAGATTTCACCTCCTTAGCAAATTCAATGAATTAGCTGTAAGAATTGATGCTAATAGAATTAACCTAGTATTCTTCCTCGTCATCGTAAGTATAAACTTGTGTAGCTGCTTAATCCTATTGAGTAATTAGATTTTGATCGATATCAATTTCGTTCTCTTTAATGTACTGCTCTAATTGAGAAATGTATCTCTCACTTAAGGGTTCATTATTGCAAGGCATAGAAGATACATTTGTTTATGGTGTTGTTTTCTTGATAATACCCCATCTTTAGGTTCTGTTTAACATCTCTTTGATCTACTAGATTTGCTTTCTAATCTATGCTAATTTCATTCCAATCATTTAGAATAATCTATCCAACAACTTGTATTTTGGACTATGAGTGGTCACTTCCTTGAATATAGAGTCATTCGATTATTATTGTTGTTGAGGTTGATCGATGTAATATTGGAGTAGAATCTTATCGATGAAGTAAGTACCTTACCTAGAAAACAATTCCAAGAACACCTTGATTAAATCTAAAGCTTTTTCATGGATGGATAATTGCAAGGAAGAATCGAATAGAACTTTGAATATGGTGTTGAAAATCTTTTCCATGTAAGTTTAATTGTTAATGAAATCAGTCTACATTTTCTCTAGGTTATTTGGTGGTTATTGCGATTGTGTTTACTCTAACTTAGGAAGGTAACTCTAAACTACATGTTTAACAATGTCTAGCCAATTTTGATAGATGCTAGTCTTTTGATAGGGCGGTATTTTAAGGTTCTTACCAACTATTGTTTCTTCATCAATCAATTCAGCCACATTGGCATTAATTTCATTGATCTTGTCATTCATGTCGTTTTATTAGATGGGATCTCTCTTCTAAATGATGGACTATTTCAGACGGTTGCTGATATCGATTCTTAGGTGCATAATGTCAACAGGACAATGTTTGAGGGTTTTGATGATGGTGGCAACAACGGAATCTAACTTAATGGTGTCAGAGATATCCTTGATGATTCTGGATTGTGGTTGTAACTAGTTTTCATCCCTTTTGATGGTGAGAGCCAGCAATTATAGAAATTTGGAGTAGGCATTGAATAGTTCTTAGACTATATTTCTCGGGACTTTCTACAACAAATCTTGGAAGTTGGTTTCATTGATCACTTGATTCATGGTCTTCAAGGCTCGCTTCAAGATTTCTCTCATTTGGGTTTTGGTCTAGGTTTATATTGAATGAATACTTCATCTTTGACTATAGAGTCTAAAACAAAAATTGTGTAAATGAAGAATGGCGGTATGTTAGTCACAAAGGATAAACTATAAACATTGAGTCTTATGTCCTTCTCTTTTTTGTCTTCGGCTTCTGATTGTAACACGTAATTCTGATCTTAAAAGGGATTACTTTGATTATCTCCTAAAAGTTTCTTGTATTGAGACTTTTTGAGCTCATTATTAAATTTAACCAGGAATTCAATCCGTTGCTCAAAGAATGAGTAGAGTCTCAAGAGCAATGCATCTGAAAATAGAGTATTTGATCTTTAATATTGATGTGATTATTATTGATTAGACTTTAGTAGATCATTAATAATGCGGATGGCCACAGCAGCATTATTCTCGTTGTCCTTCTCCAACACAGCAGTCATCTATTCGACCACTTGGTATGTCATGTGTTACAACAGAATTTTCTTCTGTAGTAATTCCAAGATGGCAGCCCTAATTAAGAATTTTGTATTGCGAGTTGTCTGAGGCTCAACATGTTAAAGGACGTAAACAATGAAGTTCAAACAATTGTCAACGAAGATTTTCTAGTTGTTCTAGAGGACTTGCTATGATTGACTCAAATGAATTGATTACATGATTGGTGTCTCTATTTCTTTCTTGATGTACCTCCTCAGAAATTCGACTTAATCTCTCTCGGATTTCAAAGATATTCCTTTCTGTGAAGCTCTCATTGTTGTTGTTTAGGTTGTTAAGCTATTCTTTGAGCTTTTCGAAATACGCAGGGTCGATTTGAGACATTTTAATTAAATTAATGATCAATTTCGCTCCTTCCCTCTCTATGAAAATAAGAAATAATCGTAAAAATTTGTTCGGTATAATAAATGCTTTCCTATCAAAATGTTGCTCAAAATGAATATCAGAAAGAGAAGACCATCCCCTCACCCAACCCTCTCTCCAGACCTAAAGACAATAATACAAATTAATAACCGACTCCAGTTCCACAACCTTTCAATACATTGCTCCCAACCAATCTGTAACTTTTTTTAACTCTATCCCCATAGTCTACATCCCCAGACAATAGAGAATGACAAACAATCGTAAGTTTTTCCTTCTCATTTAGAATTAAATCCAACCCAACCCCTAAGGAATAATCATATAAGTCAAATTACAATATCGACTAAATCAATCCCCAAGAGCAGGCACTTCTGGAAAAGCAACAATCACTCAGGGAAGAGGGTGAAGACTTAAAGTAACGCAATTATCCTACCTAGATCACAATTGAGGAAGTTATAGAATGAGAATTCACAACTCAAAAAAGTTATCGACTAACTCCAATCTGAATTGTATTCAGTTTACCTTCTAATCCTTTAGATAATCGGTTAAAAACCAAAAGTCGATTGAACAAGATCTCAAAGCCAAATTCGATTATTAGGAAGAAATGATTCTAAAGTTGAAATCCGAAGTTCGCAGAAAATAAGAGGCTCTCCAAGAGAACCAATATAAGTTGGGAGACTTAGACAGAATCTAGAAGAAGTTGGAAGATTACAATTTCCTAACCTCCAAATAAAATGAACTAAACAAATAAATCAAAGATCTCCAAGATTAGGTCTCAGATTAGAAAAGACAACTAGTCTATCTCAATTCTGTTGAACATGAAAATACCAATCTAAAGGGATTCATTGAAACCTACAAATAGCAATTGAGAGAAAAGGATCTAAAAATTGAATAGCAAAGAGAATAATAGGAACAATTGTACACTGACAATAAAAAGATGAAAGCAACCTTGGATATGTTAAATTTTGAACTCAAAAAACAATAAGAAAATTCTAAGGATCAATCACATAGAGCAACCATTCAAATCACAGAACTCCAAGGATAAGTGAATTCTTTATAGAAGTCACTTGCTAATCAAACCCATCAGTTTGAATTATAAAAATAATAGGTCAAATAACTAGAAAATAAAGAGAAGGAACTCTATAGTACTAAAAATTAAGTATTGAAATAGGAAGAATCTATTCAAAATCTAAACTAATAGAATTTACTATGTAACTTATTGCTCTATAATTTAATTAGAACAACAAGACATTGAAAAACTATCCATGACCTTAAAGAATGGCAAATAGGAATTTCTAAATTAATAATAGAAGTTAGCCAATGCCGAACTAGAAATCAAGAAATAATCTGATCAACTTCAACAATTGCAAAAATACAAGGATCAATTAGTCCATTAATGTTAATTCCTCGATTAAGAATTGAAGAAGAAACAAGGAAATTTAGACTAAAGCATAGCTTTAGCTCAGCATAAATAGATTGAAATGAAGACCATCCAGGATCAACAATAAAATTAACTTTAATTTCTGGAAGGCGAATTATAAAAAAGAGATTCTATCATTTTTACATTAGACTAATAGAATTTAGCTTTAAAATCCTAACTTGAATAATATTCATAGGCTGACTCTGTAAATAAGAATGAGTTGAATAGTAATTTTGCTAAAATGAGAGAAATGCATAATGATCTAATTTTATATGAAAAATAGGTTAATTCTTTAAATATGGGTATTAGATAATTTAATTTATGTAGAAAACCATTAAATCAAGTTGTAAAGCTAGATGCTGTAAGATAGAAACAATTAACTGGAATTTGAAGTTACAAAATTAAGAGTATTCTACTGATCTATATAGGAATAATCAATCTAATAGGACAATAGAGTAAGAAATTTAGAGAATGAATTACACAGCTAATCATTCAATCAAAAGCTCAATACAGTAAGAATGCCTTACACTTCAGATTAGCTTTTTCCGAATTAATAACAGTTCTCTTCATCGAATATACCTATGGGTTCTTTTAATCAATAATTTAATTTGTATAAATGAGCAAATCAAATATTGTAAAATGTTATTATTTTATTAAGTAATAAGATAATCATTATTTCTTGTTTATTAAATTATTTAATATTTCCATTTTTTATTACTTATATTTCGAATCGCAATCCTCTCTCATCCAAAAAACTACCTCCAAAATATACACAGCATATGATTCAAAACTTTGTGGATAAAGTTGAAGCAATCCATCAATTTCACTCTTTGGATTGTTGATCGATTTGATAAGAGTAGTCAAGATCTTATCAAACTATTAAGCACTTGTCTTACCGACCTAAGTAATATAATCTTATTCTATAGAATTCATTATGACTTCCTTGTCTCTCTGCATTTATGGTACAACCAACTCTTTGTTAGACAGTATCATCTAAATAGCTGCCTTCTTGTCTTTTTCTTTCTTTTTCTTATCTTTATCCTATTCATTCACAAAACTCAGGTTTGTTAACAATTTGGGAAAGTAACCTAAATATTATCAAATTTATAATATACCTTTAGGAATGCCTGCAATGAATTATACAGTAAATAATAATTATTCTTCATATGTGGTGATTAGTTATTTGAATATCAATTTGACTAGCTTGTTAAAATGAATCTAATTTAACATTAATAATTAAATGTCCTTAAGATAATCCTTAATAGTGAATAATGCTTGATCTATCAAGTTCTCATTCTACCATTTGGGTGAGAATAGAAATGGGATAATTTAATCATTAATTTCATTAAAAACCAACTTACAGGATTTTTCTAACAACAAATTAATGATTTCGTTGAAACCTCCAGTCAAATCTTAATAAAATATTTATTAGACTCTTTCTGATATTAACTAATTACAAAACTTTAAGCAATATTCCTTTGTTTCATTAGAATATGTCATGCATTTGTAATAATTATTGGTTTGTAAAACTAGCAGGTAAATAGGTGAAACTTCTCCTTCCTACTCACTGCTAGGTAGTTCATTTATAAAATCTCTGCATTCTTTTTTCAAGACTTCGGATAGAGTACCACAGACGGAACGAATAAATTCAATAAATATTTCTCCCTTTAGATTTGGACCAAGAATATCTAATTATTAATTGATAAAGTGGAATATATCTTCTGGGAAGTAGGTTAATAAATCCTATTTAGTTTTAATAAGTTTAGTGATGTTTTCTAAAGTTTGCTATTCACTCTTGTCCTTTCTTATTGCCTTTTCAGAATAATCGATAATTAAATTATTTACATGGTCTTGAAAGATGGGCATGTAAGATTTAACTTTGCATCTTAAAGCAACGTAGGATTCACTCTGTTCACCAACTCTGCTTAACAATTATTCATAGGAATCAACCCAACTTAGTAAATTGATTAAAGTACCAAATGACTCAGTCACCTTTTACTCATCTTCAAGGAAGGGAAGGATTCTCTTTTCTACATTTACTTTATACTAATCTTCAATAATCTTAAAAATATCATAATGTTTTGGGAAGCATTTTACAGTGTGATCAAATGCCAAAATCAAATCAGCAGATGAAAACTTAGATTGCTCTAAAATTTAGACTGCATCCTTTGCATCCTTCAATTTCTAATTAAATTTCTCATCAATGCCCTATTAAATAGTTACTATGGCTCTTTTTTTATAAATCAATTCCTTCTTTCTTAATTCCCTAGATTTATCAGCAGTTTCAATGATCTGTAATGCCTTTATCAATTATTAAGGTTTCTTGATAGATGCTTCAACTGTTGTCAAAAAGATCTCGTATATCTTGTCATAGAACTTGTTCTCAAATTCTGATAGACATTTGAATTCATTGAGGATAACACTTAAGTCTTATTTCGATTATGGAGATGTATTAACTGCTTCTATGATGTTATCTCGAATATCCACCAAAGCAATTAGTTTATAATGAAGATTCTCGTAATCACAATTTCCACTTTAAAATGTAGAATTCATTTTATCAATTTCTTCTTAGACTCTGAATATGTACTTCATTTGATCAAGCATTAATCCAATATTTTTGCGATAAAAAAATATCTTCTCATAGTTGACTAATTCTTTATGAAATTGAGCATCATTATCAAATTCTTAATTTAGAATTTCTATTTGTTATTCGCATTTTTCAACATTGTTAAAGCAGTGATCCATAAAAGTCTTAGTTTTATTGAGTGCATCTATTTAGGATTTAATCATCTTCTAAATCTTGTCTTCTAGTTCCAATTATTGTTCAATAAACGAATTAAGCAATTTGTCGAACTTCTCATCTTCCTAATAGCTTGGATTGCCTAAGATTTCCATAATAGTTAGATTGGCTGCAGCCTTGGCTTCTTCTTCATTTTAAAACACTTTTTAACATTAATACATTTTTAATTAATAAAAATATTGAAATAATTAATTGCATGAGAGAACTTGAATATAGAGCTTATGAAGTTTATTCAGGTAACATTCTGGTTGATTATTGGTCGAACAAATAAAATGATCATAGTTATCCTAAGATAGAGATGAAAAAGATCAATAAAAAGATGAGTAAATTGTAAATCAAAGGATTGAAAAGGAAAAAAAAGATGTCTGATCAAATTATTGAACAAATTACAGATTTGTGTATCTGATTTTGATACTTCAAATAATATTTATTGAATTATAATAATATAATATTACTAAAAAATAAGAAAAAAAAATAAATTCTGTTTATGAATCATCTTCATTCATTCGATGAAATTTAAGGATTCTAGTTCTTCTTCGTTTGGTGATATGAGATTTTTAATTTGAAATCATTTGTATGCTTATATCAAAAACAAAATTAATAAGGACTTCAAATAAAGAAAAAAAAAGTATAAATCTAAAAGAAGAAATTTAAATTTTAATTAATTAATAATTCATTCAGCAATTTCTTCATTTCTATTGCTACTCTCATCTTGATTGAATATTTATGAAACCTATTGTGAATAGATGACACCTCCAATTTTTAAGTTAATTTTAGCAGGGGTGTATGACTTTTGTCCAGTTTGAGCAAAACCCTTAAAATAGTAATAGATCTTACTTTAACTACTTTATCAACAACGTATTAATGCCTTTTATTTAGAATTGTTGCTGATTCTGGTTCATCTGGCACCAAAAATCGGATAAAATATTTCAATGCCAAAAAAACTACGAGTAAAACTGAAAATATGACAATTTGATTAGTTTGAATTGTTTAAGAGGTATAGACGATTAATCCAGAGTTTGAGAATATCCCAAAAAATGTGATTACTTCTAAAATGATCAGCCAATTTCCTATTGTTGCAGCTCCCTAAGGGAAGGGTCTTCTTGAAACTCTGATCAACTTGAATTTATCAACTTGTATTTCTATAATGTTCGAAACAAATGCTAATATGTAGCATGATGGGAAGGCAAGTCCAAACAAAGCAAGATATGAAAACTAAATAACAAGTTCCATATAATCATTGACTGTTCCATCTACTTCTTCATTTGTTTGATATGGCTCTAATTCCATTTGATCATCAATGGCTGAATCAATCAACTTAAATGCGTGTTCAACTTCTTTGGTAGTTTTGGATTTCATTTGCTATAGTTTTATAGAATGAAATGATTTACTTTGGTAATAAATGCCTTAATATAGGGAGTTGCCAATTCTGGAATGTTTTTACCGATGTTTGATAGAAAAATAACAGTCATCTGATTTGATAACACTTAAAAACAGTCATTCTACACTTCCTCACTCACTTTACACAATTGTAATTATGAAAAATACCCAGACAAAAATGAAATAATAAAGAAAGAATTGAAACTACAATAATGATCATAACTTACTTGTTGACAAACATAAATATGAATATTTTAGCAATAAGAGAATTTTCATAGGATGATAAAATCTTATGGTTTTCATACATATTGAAAATGTCACTTAATTTTTAATAGACAAAGTTAAAAAAGTTAATTTAAATAAAATTTAAAAGAGCTGGAACATTCTAAGCATAAAAGGGATCGGCTTTCTATTACAACATTAAATTCTTAAAGAAAAATATTCCCAACACACTACCTATGACACATCCTATGATAAGAAAACTAACAGCCAATGAAAACAATTGTTTCATCTTTCTCAAAAAAGGAGAATAAAATTCTTCATTCAAATCATCGTTTGTAATAGATCTTATGTATTTACCTTGAAAGGCTGGTCTTTCAGCCTCATCCTCTTCAAAATTTTGTTATCCAAACTAAACACTAAATAGGATTTGTTCTCTTTTCCAAAACTCAATGAAGAATGTACTCCAAATAATGATAGCTAATGAAAATAAGATAATCATTGTGGATTTCGCTTCTTCTGTGGAAGCAGAGATCAATCCTTAGGCAATAATACCAATAATAGCCATATACCATAGTTGTTTAGTGAAATAACTCAAAAAAGAGAAATACAGAGCAATTTTTTCACCAAAATAATCTCTCATAGAATTGATTGATACATGCCAAGGGATCCTAAAATTAAACGCACTTGATTCTTCTAAACTATCTGAATCAAAGTCAGTTGGTTCTGCTTCATCCTTTAATTCATTAAAGAGATTTTTTAATTCATATTCGTGTTCAGTATCTTCCTTTGGTTGCATAAACTCACCTTCAATTAGTTTCTCAAAGAATGGACTCTTGGGAATGGCTTGCAATTGATAATGGTCGTGAATTGGGAAGTAGGCAGTCACAATAAGTTCCTTGATCATTTTTAAAATATTGATGTTTTTCAATACAATGGCATGAGTAATCTTAATCTTCTCCATATTAATAAATTCTGATCTTAAACCTTTCTCATTGACTTCATACTTTCTCCACATTGAGTTTCCTACCTCATTATTAGGTTAAAAGAATTCGGTATAAGGCGCAACTGGATCCACATTTAGTCTACCCCATAAATTCAATAAGATTGACTTATTCTATGTTATTTCACTCATTACACTTGGATGATTTTTATACCATAATTCATTTGCATCTCCCAATGCCTTTCTAAATATCAATTTATACAAGAAAGCTTAATTTTCTTAGATCTGAGAATTCCCTTTTTTCTTTAAATTTTGTATCTTCTATCCGAAATGCAATAAGATTTCCATATATATGTAATAGATCTCCCATTCCTTCCTAGTGATATCTTTATCATTAATCAATTCAACCTTCTCGTGACTCTAATCAATATTAAGTTCTTTGGCTATGATTTTCATAATTTTATCAACTTCTTACTACTTTAAGATGGTGTACACCTGGAGTAAAATATCATCCCATTAACAAATAATAGGATAGAGAGAATCACAATAATTTCCAATAGTTTAATTATTCTACTACTAAATATTCTCTTCTATCTTGATTTCCTCTTAATCCACATATTTTTTCTCTTTGAAATCTTGCATCTTTTTAAAATGTTACAATTAATCAACTAAAGCTTAATTGGGATCAGTATTTAAATCCTTATTGTCTTTCTTATCCTACTAATCCTATTTCTTTTTAAACTCATCCTCTTTACCTTGAGCCTCCTTCCTTGAATCAAGAATTTCTTAAAGCTTTTTCTTAATTTCTTCATTGTTTGCATATTGTCTAATGTAATTCTTCAATCTTAAAGGTCTGAAACTTTCATCAACTGGTTCCAAACTAAACAAATCAGCAAATCCCAATTCAATCTGTTTTGTGACTTTCATATTTTGAGCTGATCTTTTCACCACCTCCTTACTGCTTTTTAAGATAAGGAAAATCAACTCTCCTGTACCATTAATAAACTATCTACAATGAAGAAACCCATTTCTACACAATTTGGCCATAATTGTAAATCTGATCAATGTTAGAAAATCCTTTGGGGGAGTATTTTGGCATGTCCATTCATACTTTTCTTGAAATTCATCAATTTTAGTCTTCTTTAAATATTAACCTTAACACCATTTTTTTTTGACTTTTTTGAATTGAGAAGTATCGCTTATATCCACTTTTTGCAATTCTTTTATTGGATCTAGAACCATGTTAGGATTAACTTCCATTTTATCAGGTTCGATACCAATTTCATCTAAATAGGCTTATTTCTTTTGTTGAATAACTTCCCCTCCTTTTTTCTGTTCATCTTCTTATAATTTTTGGTCTTGTTCTTATTTTTTATACATTCTTAAGAAATCAAGATATCTATCATAGGATGTTTTTTCTTGTTTTTTTTGTAACTATTCCTTTTCCTCTCCGAATTGTGTGGCAGTCTATAAAGACTTGATTGTTTTTTATTTATCTTCTTTCTTTAAATTTTTCTTTTTCTTCTTTTTCTGGTTTCCCTCATCCTTCTTATCTTCATAATCATCTAAGGTTAGAAATGCCAAGAGAAATGAACATCTTTCTTTTTTCATCTACGATTTTGAAACTTCATCAGTCATCACAGTTAACATTTCGTCGTATATTTTGACTGCATCTTTGAAGGAAACTGGTCTATTCTCGCAATTATCGGAGTCTGGATTTTAAAAGATTACAGCCAAATCTCCAATATTGTAATCATCGTATGTTCCTTTAACTTCTGCAAATTCATTTGGATTCAGAAATTCATCTTAAATTTTCTCTTCCTTGTATTCCTTATCATTGATATCCTTATCAACCAAATCTTTGGCAGTTTTCTTCTTTAGAAATTTCTTAGCATCGACTTAATTTGTAAAGAAGCCCAGAATTTCCCTTAAGGACTCTTCCTTTTGGTTTTAAATTTTTTATTATTTTAGTTTCTTAGAGTTCAAGGATTGCTTATTTTGCGCCTTCGATTTCACTTAAATCTATTTAGCCGATTATGATTTTTGCTAAGTCGACATTTTCAATAAAATAATAAATTAATTTGAAAAAATAAACAACAATTAATTAAAAGAAAGTCTATTCAAGTTCAATCCTCCTCTTCACTGCTTATAACCTCCTTAGGACCACCAATCGATCTATTAATCTTTTGTATTAAATATCTGGCATTGCTTTCAGTTTGAAATCCCTAAAATAATAATATCACTTCTCATTACTTTAACTGCCTTCTCCACAACAAATTCATGTCTTCTATTCAATACCAGAGCTTCGGCAGGTTCATCAGGAACTAGAAATCTGATAATATATTTTAGTGTTAAGAATACAATTAAAAGCGTTGTAAATACTTACACCTAGTTTTCCTTAATTATTTCTGAAGTAAAAACAATCAAACCAGCATTTGTAAATATTGCCAGGAATGATATCATTTCAAATATAATCAACCAATTTCCTATTGAAGATGCACCTTGAGGGAATGGTCTTCTTGAATAGTTAAAGAAGTTGAATTTATCGACTTAAAGTTTGACTACATTCTAGACAAAAGCCAAGATGTAACAAGCTGGAAATGCTAAACCAAAAAGTGAAAGGTAAGAGAACTAAATTGCCAATTCCATATAGTCATTTACACTTCCATCCACCTCTTCGTTAGTTTGATAGGGGTCTAATTTTAATTGCCTTTCTATCTCCTCATCAATCAGATTGAATGGATGTTCTACTAATTTTTCATCTTTCTTCGTCAATAGCTAAATTATCATATTTGGTATTCAATACATTTGTAATGAATGCTTTTATGTGAGGAGCAACTAGTTTAGGGATTTAGAGAGATATAATATTCGTTAAGAATATAGTTGTCATCTAATTAGACAGAATTTAAAAACAATCATTTTGTATTTCTAAATTGACTTAGCATAATTTGAGTTAGACAAAATAACTTGACAAAAAGGATGTAATAAAAAATTAAATGAAACTATAAATATATGGATATGGTTACTTATTAACAAATCTAAAAATAGTGAATTTAGCAACAAGAGAGTTTTCGTAAGTAGACAATATTTTATGATTCTCCAAAACATTAAATGTTTAACCAACTTTATTGTAGATGAAGTTAAAAAAGTTAATGGAAACTGCTTAGAGAATGCTTGGAATTGTATTGGAAAGAGTTTAATCAAGTTTTTATTCAATCAATGTATTCTTAAGAATGTTGATGCCAATCACACAACCAATAACACATCCAATAATTATAGCACTTATTGATAATGCTAGAAGTTATTTCATTTTCCTTTTCAAAGGAGAGTAAAACTCTTCATTCAGATCATCATTCAATACGGATCTTATGAAGTCTCCCTCAAAGGCTGGACGTTCTGCTTCATCAGCTTCAAAATTTTATTATCCAAATCTCACACTAAAATACACCTATTCTCTTTTCCAAAATTCCATAAAGAATGTACTCCAAATAATAATAATGATTGAAAATCCAATAATGGCTGTCTGTCTCAATTCTAATGAAGAAGAGGACATAATTCCCTATGTAATTATACTGATAACAGCCATATACCATAACTATTTAGCATAGTAACTCAAAAAGTCAAAATACAAAGCAATCTTCTCCCCAAAATAATCACGTATCGAATCAATAGGAACGAACCAAGGTACTCTGGGATTGAATCCACTTTCCTTTTCCAAACTTTCAGAATCGAAATCTGTTGATTCTGCTTCATCTGCTAATTCCTTAAATAAATCTCTCAAATATTTCTCACCTTCAGAAGCTTCTTTCTCTACAATAAATCCGTTCTTTTTTAAGGGCTCAAAGAATTGTTTCTTTAACTCTCCTTACCCTTTTAATTGATGTAGGTCATGAACAGGGAAATACGCAAAAAGATATTGCATTTACAACATCTTTAAAATGTTAATATGTTTTAAAACAATCGAATTAGTAATCTTAATTTTTTCCATATTAATAAACTCTGAACGATGCTTATTTTCATTAATCTCGTACTTTCTCCACAGGGATGAACCTGCACTCCCTGATGATTTAAAATACTCCGTATATGGTGCAACTGGAGTTATATTGAGTCTACCCCATAAATTGAATATGATCTGCTTCTCTCCGTTAAATTCCCTCCAAAAACTTTGGTTCTCAGCATACCATATTTGGTTGGCATCACCTAATGCCTTAAGAAAGACTAGTTTATAGAGGAAAGCAATATTCTCTATTACTTCCTTCATTTTTTACTCTTTTGCCCATTAGATTTTCTTACCAAAACATAGTATACTTTCTAAATAGAGATAATAGACCTGCCATTCCTCATCAGTTATTGGTATATCATCAATCAATTCAACCTTCTCATGACTTTGATCGATATTTAAGTCTGTAACAACTTCTTTCAATATCTTATCAACCTCTCTTTATTTTTTAACAACATTATATTTCAAGTCTTTTCCTTTCCATTGTCTTACTTTGATATACAATTTCAAACAGTAATTTTCAACATCCTAACAATTCAAATAATCAAATTCAGGTTCAGTCTAACCATATTCTTCCTATGCCAATATATTTCTTAAATCATCATCAATAATCCTAACATAGCTTTTCAACCTCAAAGGTCTAAATTCATTATCTACAGGTTCCAGTGAAAATAAATCTGCGAATCCCATTTCTATTTATTTCGTTATTTTCATTTTCTATGCTTGTCTTGTAATAACTTATTGATGACTTTTGACAACAACAAAAATTTGTTTTCCAGTTGTTGAAACAAATTATCTACAATGAACAAAAGCATTTCTACATAGTTTATTGATAACTGTTATGCGAACAAGAGTCAAGAAATCTCTTGGAGGTGTATTTTGACAAATCCAATCATAATCTACTTCATCATTCATTCTCTTTACTAGATACCCTCCCTTGCTTAGTTATTTACTCACATTTTTGAATTGCTTAATATTATTAAGATCAATTTTAAGTAATTCTTTAAGTGGGTCAATGATGGTGTCTTCTTATTTTTTTTGTTTTTACCAATGTCGATAGAATTATTAAGAAAATTTGACTTCTGAAAATTATTCTAATTGAATTTATTTGGCAACATTCCTTTGCTCTTGATATTATTCTTCCTCCTATTTTAATTATACTTCATAGAGCTTCATAAACTTTTAATATTTTTCATATGAAGTTTCTTCTTAAGCCTTACTTTCAGTATGTTAAGATTGCTATGAGTTAATTCTTGATGGTTAATCTTTTTAGTTTGGTAATAGTTTGGCATCTTCTGATTAATTTTAATGCTTATCATTTTAATTCTTCTTTTCTTTATTTTCCTTTTGCTCTTTATGACCATCTTTTTTATCAGATTATTAATTCTAATTTTCATTATTATCCTTATTCTATTTCTTGTCATCTTATTTCTTATCCTCTTATTTCTTTGTCTTTTTCTATGGCTTCACATAATCCCCCAATGTGAGAAAGGACAACAAAAAGGAATCCCTTTCTTTTTTTAAATATGACTTAGAAACTTCATCGGTAATAACTGTAATAAACTTATCAAAAACCTTTTCGGCTTCCAAAAAAGTTACCTCCCCTACAGGAGCATCCTCATCATCTGGATTCGGAAAAACAATTACAAGATCCCCAATATTGCAATCTCCATAAATATGTTTCATTTCTTCAAACTCATTTGGATTTAAAAACTCATCTTAATATTTCTCTGATTCCTCTGTATCGTCACAACTCAGCAATTTCTTTTTGTTTTTTAAAAATCTCTTGACATCAATTTGATTCGTAAAAAATCCCAATATCTCTCTTAAGGATTACTCTTTTAAAGTTTAGATTTGCTGCTACCTGATTTTTTTTTAACTTAGAGTTTATGCTTTCTTCAGCTTGGATTTCAATTCCAATTCCTATTACTCTTCATGAGCTTAAAGAACTTCGGCCAATGATTATCTAGACGTCCTTGAATTTCTTGAAATTGAATTGTTTAATTCCATCTTATCTTTATAATTTATTTATAAAAATGCTGTAGGAATAATAAGAAATCTGTCCTATCGAGTAATTTAACCAATTCTATTTAGCTAGATACTTTAAAGGTCTCTAAAATTCCTTTGCAGAACTCATCGAAGTTGCGAAATTGAACTCATGCAATCATACTATCGACCTCAGACCTTATAAATCTCCAACACTGCATTCTATCTTATAAAAAGTTGAACAATTAGTATCAAATAACAATAAAGGAATAGAACGAAAATGAAATTCCAGATTAAAAACCCTCAGATAATTTAGAGCTTAAGAAAAACCAACTCTTAGAATATCAGAATCATGCAGAGTTAATTACTACTAATTTCTATACTCAATCTGTTATTGCAGCCATGTAAGTCAGAAAAGTAAAGAATGAAGCCATCAATTGTGCTTACATTCATGCCTTACAAGGATTCCCCTCACTCAAGTAGGAATAAGACAAATTAAAGAAATGCAAATTGCAATCCTTTCAATTGGCGTAATTTTACAAACATATCATAGGTAAGAATAGGAATTTCGATTCCTTAAATCCATATAGCCAAATGTCTATTAGCTTCACAAAATCAAATAGATATCCAATCATGTCTAAGATAGATTCATGATTCATTTCACTATTTATCATCCATTCACTAATAAGAAGATGTAAATCATCATAGCTACAAACGATGCAACTCTTGAATCAGTAATCTAGGAAATAGATTGTCCTGTTGAATCCACAGAAAAAATGTTTTATCAAGATGAATTACAAATTTTTGATCCTCCATCAATCAGCATTGGAAAAAAACAAGATGTCATAGGGCAACTTAAATTTGTGTTATGTAAACAATATACATATACGCATTTAAATTAATGCAAACATAGAATATATGTCAATGAAATACGTTCATTGACTTAAGATGAAGAACTTAATTCCCCTTATGCCAGGACCATCTTTAAAGCACCACTAAAAATCAGAGGATGTGATGGTTGTGGAAGGTCTGCTTAATTATTTAGGATTTCAGATACATTAATACCAGGTTCATCTCCTGTCTTTTTATGTAAATTTTGTAATGACAATTTACATTCGAATGATTAGGAAAAAGGTCTGTAATATTTTTGCGACTGATGAAAAACACCACATAATTGATTAAATAATAAATATATATTGCAAAATTAATTCAAATCATAACTTGCTAATTAATTTTTATATGATCTTTCATTAAAATAAATTGAGGAATATATGAATTGAACAGAATATATTATAAAAGTAAAGCCTCCTATCTGAAAAAAACTACTGGATAATTTATTAATATTGCGATTTATGTATTCATATAAATATCTCATTATTCTTGTACTGCATTCTTAATAGTCTTAAATAATTGAGTTGCTTCTAGAATGGATGAAAATTCTAAGCAAAACCCTTGCAATTCTACATAAATCTTTTTTGGATCAAATGTCTTTTATTTAATCAATGTACGGATAAACACTGATACTAATCTCACTTATCTAGTCAATTGTTATGGCTAATTCTAAATAATAAATTAATAATCTTACGATCTTGTATTCTTCACAATTTACTATGCACTTCCTTATGAACATATTAAAGAATTGGTCTGGTAGACTTATGCTCTTTGATAATTAGTTCACTAATTCTAAAGTCTGAATACTAATCTTAATCTAAATTAAACAGTCCAAATATCTAAAAAAATCATTTTATATATACACGTTAGCATTTACTCCCAATTGATATAATTTTGTTATGAGATCACTCACTAATTATGGATTGTACTCAACCAAAAGTTTGAATTGATTCCAATCAATCTTATATTCTGGTTTGAATAGACTCAGAATCAGTTGATGATCTCCCTATTACAGTTTTGTACATTAAGCTTAATACAATATATGGCGAAATCTCATCAAAGGAGTAATGGAGTAGTCCCAAATGGTTTGATGAGTCAGATCCAATTGAATATAATCGAAACTTTAAGAATTGAATGTGATGGGAATTGGTCTCATGAATTCACAAGAAAACTCTATTTTATTCTAGTTTAATAAATCTGTGTATCTTAGTATTTGCTCTAATGATTACCCATACTCTATCATAATGAAATTTGAATACATATTTGATATTATTGACTATGTTCAATTCAAGTTGGTTGATGCATAGATCAGATAATTATATATTCTAATCTTATTGTCGAATATTGTACAGAAATTGTAATCGAATATGAGGTGCTTGTTTCTAATAATTTCAATTTCAAATTACTTGATCTAATAAACTATTAATCATCTAGTTGAGCATTTCATTTTTGCATTGATCCTTGATCACCTTATAATTCTCATCCAAGGTCTTGTTAATTTCAACAGGGATTTTTGCTACTACTTGCATACTAAATAAATGAATAATTTAATATTATGATTTTAACTAATTTTCTTGTATCATATATACTCGTTCATTAGTTAATAGAAATGAGTCTAGCCATCTCAAATTAAATAGATAATGTTCATAATTTGTGTGTATGTTAAAATTATTTAATCTTGTGATGATACATATTGATATTTTTTATATTAACGGATGAAGGAACATAAGGATGGAATTTATTAAGGAAGGATTAAATGCAAAATAACAAAAACATGGGCTTGGAGTATACTTATGGGATGTTGGTTCTGCTTATTATGGAGAGTGGAAAAACGATTTGATTGACGGATAGGGAATCTTGTTCTTAGGTGGCTAGATCATCATCTAAGGTGGTTTCAAGAGGGGAGTTGCCCATGGATACATTGTGATAAAGGTTGGCACAAGAGTGTTTTATAGTTAATTCGACAAAGGAGAGGCTATGTTCATTTAGGAAGGAGAAAGAAAGATCACAATACAATCATCGAGTGCTCAGATAACCCATGACTGCACTCAAGAGGCTGATCGTATATTGCAGGGCATAAGTAAACTGCAGTAAGGGGACTTACAAATATAGTTATTTAATCATTGTATCTACTACGGAAATGTAGGGAAGGCAAATTTACCAAATGGTTTGGGAATAGAGATTTCAAATTTATTCTATCAATGTGGATAGTTTGTGGAAGGGAAATTAAATGGATTGGGTCGATTAGATTAGCAAGATGAGATTTATCAAGGCTAGTTCCAATAAGGCGTGTATCATGGGAATGGGTTGATGATATTCCAAGATCAGCGAATTCAATGGGTGAAAGGCAAATATAATCAGGGACAGTTGGTGGAAATCAAGAGCAGCGGATATTTGGATTAAATGGAAACTCCGCAAGAATTAGTGTGTAATTCGTCATTATATCTTTGATAGTTAATTTCTCTAAGAAAGCTAATTAGTAATACATAATAACTCCTATATCGAAGGAGATAATATTGGGATACATAAGGTTATTTGAGGTGATGCAATTCGTTAGACTACGGGTAAATACATTAACTGAAATCAAATCCTAATAATACCCTTCTTTAAGAAAATACAGCACCAAAACAAATACTCTAAGCAAATCAGTCGAGGAAATCAGGAAATTATAAAGTTAATTTAATACAAGAAATCTTGATTAACAACATTAGATTTATGAGTTCATATTAGATTAACATGATGAGAATTAGACTTAAAGAAAAACTGATACTTAGTAATCAAGAACTAAAACTTAACCAACTGAGGATTTTTTTGAAAACAAGATTTCATTTGGCTTATTAGAGATTCCAAGTCTAAAGAATTCTAGAAAAACAGCAGCCTTCCAAGAGGAATAACAATAATACATGAAGAGGAATAGTGATTATAATTAGAAACGATCATTATCTTAAAATGAAGTTAAATCAACCTAACAATAGTAATAATAATAATAATAATAATAATAATATTAGTAATAATAATAATAATAATAATAATAAACTAATGATCGTATGTTAACATTAAAAAATATTTTGGAAGCTTAAAAATAAAAATATCATTCCGATTCTAAATAAAAGAAGACAGTATTTGCTGATATCTAATCTACAACTGCATAGAGAACTAAATCAATTATACAATAAAATAATAAAAATCTTCAATGTTTGAGTGAAGTTGTTTAAAAAGAGTTAAATAGATCTCCTCCTAGTGAAGAAAGAAGATCTACTATAAAGCCTATTTATGTTTAGAATGAAGAAAATGAATAACAATAATTAAGTTCTCAAAAAACCCTGCCAAGCAAATTCAATGTAGATTATAATACTGCTTATAATGATCATAAAAATAAGATACACAGTTTACTTAATAAATTCAATAGCATAAAAATTAAGCCTAACATAAGATAAGAATCATAAAACTAAGGATTCTCAACCAAATCACTAAGTTCAAAGTAATCTATACAAAAAGTACAGGATGGAAATGATGTACCATTAGGAAACATATAAAACTACATCTCTTTAGTTTCTCATTAAAATAATGTGATTGAAAAGAATTTGCAAACTTCTTTTGAAAAATAATAATAAAAAAAAATGGATGACTCAAACTACCATTCATGTAATGGTAATTGCACTCAAATTTAATCAGAAGATCCAAATACTAAGTATATCTAAGAAATTAGATAAGAGTTGGCAGAATAAAAATAAATGCTAACTTAACTGTTCTAATCTCTCTAATAGAAACAACCACAAGTTAATAAATAATATGTGAAGAGATTACCTAATACTCCTCAAAGGAATATTCAAATGCAATAACAACCAAAATAAGTTTATGTTTATCCAACATTCACACTTGTTAAATCAGTCTCTCCAGTGAGACTTTGAAAATTTGATCATCACTTCCATTTATAAAAATAATAATTATTATTCTACTTTTATTAATTTTATTAAATGTCAATCACAGCCTCTACCTGTCAATAAATTAGTCAATCGCCTCTCAATCTGAGTACTGCTAAATAACTGTGGTCCTTCCCTAAAAGCAGCCGCTTTGGCAAGTTAGAAAATCCAAATAAGTAACTGTGCGTTTCATAATTAGTTGCGCAGTGGCATTTTATGATCTCCCAGACCAAAAGCAAAAAAGAGCTGCAGGTGTTGGCTATTCATCTAAGTACAACAACATTATTTATATTATAGATATGATTTCACAAAAAATGGACCAAAAACTCCAGCACCTGATACCTACAAGATAGTGGGGGAAATAGATTTTAATAAAACTAAAAATCGAGGCTATCCCTTTGGAGTGAGTAGAGATGTAATATTATATTGTTATTTCTAGAAAATGTGGTAAACTGGGATTATGGGGGGATTGAATAAAGTAACTCCTGGCCCAGGAAAGTATGAGAGTCAGTCTACACTCAGCTAAACAAGATATACGATGCGTCCAAAAAATTAATAAGATATAATGATTCTTACCAAAAATGTTCCAGGTTTTCGTGTTTGATTATTGTAGGACCTGGAGCTTATAACTCTGTCTAAGGAATAGATTCTAAAGGAAAATATCCAATTTCTAAGTTTTCCAATAGTTGTGCCACTCTTTTTAATCCTCCCCGATCTAGGAGATTTGACAATAAATAATGTAAATTATTAATTCTATTAATTTCAGATAGCAGTGATGTTCCAGGACCAGGAAATTATAAATTAGATAATATTGGCATTTAAAAGGTAATCTTTTTATCTAAACTTTAAAGACTGGATTTTATCCAATTTCTAATTTACATTCTAGTAAATGTAGAAGTTTTCCTCATGATATCAGGAAAACTTATTCAGTTTCCAGTATGCAAACTCCCGGACCTGGTCAGTATAGACTTCCTTCAGATTTTGGATATTACGAATCTAAATCGAAATCAATATCTAGAAGTTGATGATATAATTTAATTTTGAGCAATATTAAGTCAATTTTAGATTAATTTTAATATTAATTTTTGTTATCACAAATTCTCATCATCTAAATAGTTGGTTCTATACAGTTTCCTTTCAAAACTATCCAACATGCTGTTTACAATCTACAAATCATTTTGATCATTTTTATTTTACTCATTAGGGAAGTGGCTATTACATTTTATCTGTATTCTTTTTTTTGGAATCATCGACTACTTAGTCCTCGTGAGGTGAATCGAAGTTTCTTTTAATAAAGAACTATTGGCTTTGAGGGTTTTACTAAAATTACTCTCAGCTTGTTCGACTGCTTAAGCTAACAACAATCCTTTAAATTCTGTTCTATCAAGTGGATGCTTGTGAGAAAGTGTAGATACAGATTTTGATTTTTGACTAAAATACATATGATCAAATACCCATTAACCAGAAAAATTGGGGTTGTTTAATTCTGATTAGGATTATTACGCTATTCAATTTTGGCTGTTTATCCAGCATTGAAAGAAATGGAATTGAAATCCTAAAATAAAAATATATAGCTTTACACTTCCAACTGTATATGGTCTGCTTGTCTGATTGTATTATGCTGAATTGATAATTTAATTTTGCAATTATTGAATAGTTTGAGATTGCTATTGATGTTCCAATTGTTATAAAGTAGATTCTATAACATCCTTAGGTTGTCTACAATTAGTTTAAGCAGTGGCTACTCTTTACAAACTTAGTCTAGAAGGGAGAATGCCACTTCTTTATTCCATTTCAAGATTAGTCATCCTTCTTAGAGTACTTTATTATTTAATATGTTCCATATTCTATAGTCTTAACTCCTCTTTGATTTACTCAATTTCCAAATCTTTTGAGATTTTCTCACTAATTGCTTTCACTCCTTGCTCTTCCATTTGCAAAATCTTTGGGTTGATCAGCAAATTAACATATTTTTAAGATTGTTAATTCAGTTTGTTCCATAGATGGTCTGGTCGACCCAGTAATGCTGTTCTTGAAAGGATTGGCTTTACAGCTATGGAATCTACTTAAACATCATTGCGCTGCGAACTTAAGTTTTGTAGACTACCTCTTTCTAATTTTCGTTATTGTAATCGCATGAGATCCTCTTCTCTTGCCATATTATAGTATATTATTTTATTGCGTTGTAACTCCTATTTCTCTTTCTATTCCACCTCTTACAATTTCTTAATTCTCTTCTAACCTTAGTCGTGTTGTTCTTTTAATTATTTGAAAACTTTCGCATTCGATTTCGCTTGATGTGGATTATTCCAAATATGTGTATTATCATTATAATAGTCATGGGTTTTTTTTTAATGTTCATTGATAGGAACTGTTTGATATCTACATTAACAAAGTCAATACTCTGGCAATTTAGTTTGCAAATAATATTTATCAATCTCTTTTTTTGGATAAGCTGGATGATTAGTTATCATTTATATTAATTAATCAAATTCCTTTTTTTTAAGAATCCTAAATAATTACAAAACCCATTTAATATGAACTTATATTCAGAATTAATTAAATAATAACGTTGTTAATTAAATTTCAATTAAGATATAATAACTAACTCTTTTTTGGTCTTAATAACACTAAGAACTATTAACTTTATTAAATTTTGTAAATAGTAAATCCACTTATAAAGAAATGAATCATTAAGCAACCAAGCAGGACTTTTATGAACTGGAAGTTCAAATAACTTATTAAATCAAACATTTTGCGTATTGTTATATATTGATAAGTGAAAACTTAAATATTAGCATATACCAGTTTAAACATGTAAATTCTTTCTATAGATTGGATTATTGTGAGAGATAAATAAAAGTTAGTTAATTTGATTTAATTTTGAAACAAAAGTACAAATGCGAAGTAAAATTATCTGAGGATTCTCATTATTATGCCTTTGAAATCAGAGTTTTCAATTCAGTGCAACATAAAAATTAAAACTATTATTTACAAAAAGATACTGTTTGAACTAGAAATTTATTAGAATTTAATAAATTGTAAAGATGGAACCATTCGCATGAAACTATTTAATATTTATTTAATTTAAAACTCTAGAATAGTTCTTTCATAATTAGAATATCAAAAATAATTATAAATTTTTAAACCATTCTCTGTTCTTTATTATTTTTATAATACAAAAGGATCAACCTAACACCAGTTGATTGAATCTTAAGAAATAATAATTTATTATGATAAATTTTATTGTTATATAATGCAATATTTTTCAATACTTTCTAGGTGGTTCTTTAGTAGTAACAATCTTTGGGGCTAATACTTATGTTACAGGTTTGACTAACTCTTTAGATTAAATAAACTATTTAGTTTAGGATGTTGTCCTTTTTTTCTCAACTGATAACTATTATGACGCTTTGTTGGTCTGTTATTGGGGTCTTCTTTGTCCTGATTATTATTGAGAATTGATATTGAGATGATGACTATTATTTCCAATCTTCTTATCTGACTCAATGCCATTTTGTCTGACTACCTATTGTTATTGTTGTAATGGCTAAGTCATAATCATCAGCTTATTTTCTGATTGTATATCCTATTAGGTTTTGACAATTGATTCATCCTTAATCCATTCAAACTTATAATCCCATTCGAAACCTATCTTCTTAAAAGCATCCTTAAATACTAACAATTTATACTTTAAAAAGACCTCTCAAATAATTGTAATCTGGTTTATCTTCAAACTTTAAATTCTTACAATAATTCAAATATTAACTCATTTCAATTGGAAATCCTTTGCAAAGAGCATCTGGAGAGGTTTCAAGTTTCTTCTCCATAATTCTTTAATATTTATCCTTTTGATTGATAGCTTTCATATTTTGCCAAGGCAATTAACCTCTCAGCAGATACATGAGCACATAACCCAGTGATTCAAGATCATCTCTCCTTGATTATTCCAAACCTAAATGAGTATTGACAGAAGCATAGCGAGCAGTCCCAGTCAAACTCTTTCCTTCTCTATAAGGAATGTGACCTTCCTTAGTTAAATATCTCTTGGCTAACCCAAAATCTAGTATGTAAACCCGAGTTGCTTTCTTGCCTAAACCAATTAGAAAGTTGTCTGGCTTGATATCGCGATGTAGAAATTATTTTGTATGAATGTATTCAATCCGTTAAATCATTTGATCACCCAACATCAGCACCTAAATCATTGAGGGTACAAATTACAGTCTTGAGTGAAAGTCTTTTGTTATTTTTACTAAATAATTCTTCTAAGCTTTAACCCAGTAAATCCATGACGATGTAATTATAATCACCGTCTTAACCTTAAGCATATATTCTAGGAATTCCTGGCTTTGAGTTAATAATTCAAATACCTTTATCACTGGGATCAGATCCTTGCAAATAGTTATACAATTTCGCCTCAAAAAATATTTATGGATGTTTCGTATCACTTCTTTCTAGTTTCATCGCATATTCTTCTTTTCCTTTAACAACCAAATATATTTCTCCAAAAGCACCGCTGCCAACTCTTTTTATTAATTTATAAACCTTCCCAATCACTTAATTTGTGAGATCCTTACCAATTGGCGTGTCCATTTGTTAATTATAAATAATTTATAAATTATTATAATTAATTTAACTAAAATTCATTCCTTAATATATTCTCTGTCTCAAAGACTCTATGTTACTCATTGAAAATAAATATTTTACAAAATATAAATTATACCAAATTCGAAACCTTAATAATATGCATCAAAATACACATATATTTATAGTAGTAAATAAATGCAAAAAAAGCATACTCAATATGTAAAATAGATATCTTCTTGTCATGGAATATATTTTAGCAACAAAGAATAGCAATCCTAATAATATTTTATCCATTTTGAAACTAACAATAATTTTTCAGAACTATTAATATAATCTTATTTTTTACCTGGCTGATTCAATAATCGATTAAATTTATTAATCTTGAAATATCCTTCTAAATGATTCAATCAATTAGGAGGGTTAATCTTAATACATACTAAATAGGTTAGAATTAGCATTTTTCTTTTCAATCTATAGGCTATTTTAAGTCTTTTTAATTGGATATTATTAGTCATCTTTTAATACTCTACCCAAACTTTTTAACTCATCAATCCATTTAAATTTTCTTAAAGAAAACTTTATAATATTTTAAAGTCTCGTAATAAATCTAGTATCCTCCAATATAGGCTAATTGTTAATAAAGAAATCAACATTTTGGAATAAATGTATTCTTTAACCTCTAAGCTGTAATATGTATATGAAATGTTAATGATCGTATGTAAATCTTAAATCCACATTATAATCAAATGCCCATTGTATCAAATATAATTTGAAAAATGATAAATATATCTCATTATACAATTATCTTATTAATTTAGTTGATTTGCTCTAATACGAAAGGCATAAAATAAATTCAACTAAATGAGAAATTTCTATTGTAAGCTAAGATTCGATTAAGGAAAGGATTAAAATATCAAAATAAGTTAGAAAAATGATTTTTAATATTGATTTAATATTTAAATAAGCAAAGGTAATTTAATTCAACTTGTTTACAAAATGGTATGTAATTCGTTATTTGATATAATTGATTGTATGTCCTTATCAATTTATTCGTATTTAAAAATACTGAAGTCTTGATCTATATTAGTTTACACTTCTTTATCTTATTAATTTTAATGTATTTCCTTATCTTTTTATTCATTAATTAATAAATTTAAATCTTGATCTTTATTAGTTTACACTTCTTTATCTTATTAATTTTAATGTATTTCCTTATCTTTTTATTCATTAATTAATAAATTTAAATCTTGATCTTTATTAGTTTACACTTCTTTATCTTATTAATTTTAATGTATTTCCTTATCTTTTTATTCATTAATTAATAAATTTAAATCTTGATCTTTATTAGTTTACACTTCTTTATCTTATTAATTTTAATGTATTTCCTTATCTTTTTATTCATTAATTAATAAATTTAAATCTTGATCTTTATTAGTTTACACTTCTTTATCTTATTAATTTTAATGTATTTCCTTATCTTTTTATTCATTAATTAATAAATTTAAATCTTGATCTTTATTAGTTTACACTTCTTTATCTTATTAATTTTAATGTATTTCCTTATCTTTTTATTCATTAATTAATAAATTTAAATCTTGATCTTTATTAGTTTACACTTCTTTATCTTATTAATTTTAATGTATTTCCTTATCTTTCTATCCACAAATTATTAAATTTTAATCCTGATCATTATTAGTTTACACTTCCTTGTCTTACTAATTTGATTCTTTTTCCTTTCTAAATAATTCATAAAATAATAATTTTAAATCTTGAAACATTATTCTTAACACTTCTTTATCCTACTACCTTGATAAAATTATCATATCATTTTTTTCACTAATAAATTTAAATAATTCTTGATCCCTGTTTTTTTAAGCCTCTTAAATTTACTTATCAATTTGTGTACCGTCATATATATTTTCAATAGTAAATACAGTTAATTCTTGCTCCATTTTAGTTTTCACTTTTTAATTTTACTCACTAGTATTTGTACCATCATCAGTAATTTAACTAAATAATATACTTAATTGATCAATATTACTTTACGCATCTATTTCTTGCTAATTTGATTTTATTCCCTTACCTAATTATTCATTTATTAAATTTAAATCTTGACCCATTATAGTTGACACGTCATTTTCTTGTAATTTTGATTGTCTTACCTCATCAGTGAGTTCATTATATTATATATTTACATTTAGATCATCCTGTTATATTAATTGTATCTTACCTTTATTTTCACTAATTAATATACTAAAATCTGTATCCGTATTAGTTTACACTTATTTTTCTTTCTATTTTGATTGTATTACCTCATCAGTTTATTCATAATTTAAATTTAAATTTAATTCCTTTTTAGTTTCCACTTTATTATCTTGCTAATTTTATTGTATATCCTTTTTTATTTATTTATCATTTAATATATTTACATCTTTATCCTTGTTAGTGAACACTTTTTAATCTTGTTAATTTGATTGAATTTATTGATTATTTTATATATTTTCTATATCCTTACTAGTTGACTCTTCTTAACTCCACTAAATAGATTTTACTTCATAACTAATATCTAGTTTTGAAAAATCAAAGAAAATTTCTTTTTAAGATCCAGAATTCGTTTGTCCTTTTTCTATGAATGCTTTTATATAATTTATAAGTGTGTAAAAATATTATATAGCATCTTCAGTGATTTTCAAATTTTATTAATTTGAATCCCTTTTCCCTTCTGATGGAGTTAGATCATTTATATTCGTTTTATTGTCTGAATTGCCTTATTTTACTTTTGGAGATCTATCTTTTTGTTAGTTTTTTGGAAGGTTACCTATTTGGCGATCAGTTCTATACTTTTCTCTAGGGCTGTAATTATATCTATTTCTTTAATCAGTTCCCATAGATATTTATTGAAAATTTGGAGGTTCATATTTATGTTTAACATCTGATTAATTATCATCAGGAGGTTAAATTTTGTCTTAATTATGCACTGTATTATTTTCTATATTTATTGCCCTACGTTTAGCTAGTTCGTGTTATATAAGCTTTGAACTCTATTATTGGCTTTAAATTGAAATTTTATTTTCTTAGCTGTGATTTATTTGCATTTCGATAGTTGAAGTTGGTCTGCGAATTTCTTCATAAATTACACTATGCATTTCCATTTTTAAACTTTTTACTTTTTATATACATATAATACTTAGATTGTGAATCACCTTCTTGTCTCAAATTTTTCTATTCCCTTAATTAGGAATCTTTCGTCCTAGCCAATGCCTGATTTTATTGTTATAATTTATGGTTTTAAGCATTAATGTCGTAATTATATTGGAGATCTTAAGCTTAGGGTTTTATTTTAATTTCATCTCTCTATTTCTAATTAAGTGATAGCTTTACTTATTATAAGTAGAATTCTATCTTAGATTTGTTGCCTTCAATTTTACTTTCATTAATTATTTTTTATATCCTGGCTTTTAGGTTATTATCATTTGGATTTCCTGTTTTAGCTTAGGTCATTTTTTGTTTTAAATCCTGATCACTCATCTCTAAATATTTTTAGCCCAGCTTTATTAAATCTTCTATTGAAATCTATCTTTAAGTGTTAAAATTCATGTAATATGTATAAAAATGTGAAATAATTTAAAAATATATTATAAACAGTTAGTTAAATGGAAAGGTCAGTATTAGTAGAAATGCAACTTAAAGAAGCACTAGAAAGAGAAGCTAACTTAAAAAAGCTTAATGAGTCCTTAATGAAAGCTATGGGTGATATATCTAGTCATGACAGAGGAAAAGAAATACAATTATTAAATTAACTACATGAGTAAGAAATTTCCAAACTAAAGTCTGTTCTTAATGAAAAGATTACCATTCTGGAATACGAAGTAAGTTATTTATTAAATTTAGTTTCGAAACAAATGCAAAGAATTTAGTAATTTAGAAAAAAATTACAACCAATTGAATCTAGATTATGAAGAATTAGAGAAGAAAGAACAGTATAAATAGAGATAATTTATTATAGAAAATGCTATAAATGCGCTGACTTTTAACTTTAAATTACATAAATTCTAAAATAAAATGAAATTTTGAAAGAAGGATTAGCTAGAGAATTTTCAGAGGCTTTAAATAATTAAAAATCTATTTTAGAATACGTAAAAAAAATAAACCTATACAAAGGATTCTAATTGTTTAAAACTAAAGCTTAAATAAACTACATTTGAATTAGATTAAGAATTGAGAGAAAAGGAAAAATTATAAAAAACAATCCAAGAGTTGGGTTATTCACATGAATAAGCAGTAATTCTGAAAAATATATTAGTAAAGAAGCTTATTGTAATAAATTGCAGATCTCAATAGAGTACATAATGACACTATCCTCCAAAATAATTAATATTAAATCTCTTGTTAAGCTAGAGAACAATCACAAGCATAAAAGATTTGCTAATTGGAATAGGATAAAATAATTTTAGAAAAGCATTTATAAGAATAAAAGTAATGAGTAATTGAATAATTTTTAGAGATTAGAATGCTAAATTAGAAGGCTTGATTAAATAGTAGGAGTCACTATTAAGGGAAAAGGAAAACAAATTAATTGAATAAAGAAATGAATTATCAAAAAAATTAATAAATGAAAAGAAAATTGCTGAACAATGTTAAGCTGTGGCTTTGAAATTAAAAAATGAATTTTAAAGGAAATAATCTATATTGATTGAAGAATCTTTAAAAAAAGAATAGCAATTAAAATCAGTGTAAACTTAACTAACAAGATAAAAGAGCAAAAATAAATATTATGAAAATGCTCTTAGTTAAGTTAATTTATTAGAAATTAAAAATTCTACTCCCAAATAAATTAAGCATAAAAAAAACAATTTCTCTAATGATTTTCACACTTAGCATTAACCAGGACATACTAAAGTACTTTTAAATTGATTTTTAGAATGCTCTCAGTTAAGGCCATGTGAACAAAATCAAAATATTGCCTTCCTCAATATAGAAAAGTGAAGCAGATTCTATTCATTTTAATTTAACTGATATGTTAAATTCTACAAGAAATCCCGATCAGTAAAATCTTTCTTGTAGGCAATCAAATGAAGATATAGGGTCTCATATAGAATAATTTAATTGTGCTGCAAAATTTGTATTTATTATTACAGATTCTTAGGTCTAAACAAGCGATGACTCCGTTATCCCTATTTAGTAGTTGACAGATAGATAGTTATCTCCAAGAACAAGAAGTATATTTTTATAAAGTATTTACAAATAGTCTAAACAGTTAATCCTAAAGGACCCCCTTAAAGAATAAGATAAATTCATGCTGATTTATATAAAGAAAATATAGTTGTAAGGCCTAAAGCATGAAAATTATGAAATTATAGAATTTAGTTATTTTAGGCTTAAAATCTATAATTTAATAACTTAGTATTAAAGTATTTTTTTAAAGAAATTTTATTTAAGATTAATTAATACTTTTATTCTTAATACTTTAAATAAAAAAAAGCAAAATTGAAATTATTAAACAATGAATATCTTCTCATTTAATTTTTGGGAATTTAAATATTTTTAATTATTTATCTGTTGAAAATAATTCTTTTCTAATAGTTAAGCAGAAATTGTTATATATTTTAAACATTTAAATTTATAGTAAATGGTGCACAGTTTATAAAGACATAAAAAAAGTTTATCATTTTTTTTTTGAACTTTTAAAATATCATCTGTTTTTAGAAAATGGGCATGGATTTAAAGTTACTTACCTTTTCAATTATCGTTCTCTAAAAATTTAACTTAAAATCATACACACACTTGCAAAAGTAGCCATTGCAACACTCACAATGATAAAGCATCCTTTTTGAATTTCTATGGCATTATTGATGTTACTATACGTCTTGATCACTTTAGTAAAAGGTATCCAATTTACACTACTGTGATATATACAAATTACATCGATGCATAATGGACAATTCACTTATAACCCATTACAGAGGACTAGTTCAAATTTTTTATGGCAAGTACAACAACTTAAGAAACCTACACTTATTTTGCACGATGGGCAGAGTATGTATTATTATTCCATTTAGGGTTTAAGATTTTATAAATAAAATATTAACAATTGTGTTTTAATACGTCAGTGATTATTTTATATTATAATTTAAATTGATGCTCTTCCTTCATTATAATTTCCATTTTATTTAAAAATTACAAAAATAGATCTAATAGAGATAATAAATTAAGTAATATCATGGTTTTAGTTACTTCTAATTAAACACCATGTTAGAGTAAGCATAATTATGAATTCCTTTTGATTCATTAAACAAAATGCTTTTCATAATTACAAATGCTCTATTTGTAGTTCTTTGTGATGGAAACAGTTATTAATAAAAAGTCTAATTCAGATTCTAATTTACTTTTGGTTTCTTGAATTTTCTTTTGGGTGAAACTGATTATGAAGACATCACAAATTGATTAAAGGATTCTAATATTTAAATTTAATTTACAGTTTAAATCAATAGAACTAATCTTTTTTTTACCTTGAGGGGTTTAGTTTTAGGAACCCTGTCCATTTAAATTATTTTTTTAAGAAATCGATTAATGCTAAGTTTTTTCTCTTACAGTCTAATTTGAGAATATATTTGAAATATTTTAAGAATAAATTCTTGGTCTTCTATCTAAACTTTCAAGAGCTTGGCTTTCATTTTCAAGACTCCAATCATTTTTGAAATTATTGGTTTTCAGATATTTTCTTGGACTTGTTGAATTAAATCTATTGAATTTTGGATTTTATGTTAATGTACCAAACATTCTAATATTTTTATTTTAATAAGGAGTCTCCATTGTGTAATTAATTTGAGAAAAATTCATTTATTAAGCTTTGTTTTCAATAGTAGCCAATTATGGATATTTTAATTGTTATATATAAAGAAATTATCTATTTCTTTCTAAACTTAGCTTCAATAATCGTTCAACATTATCTTGCTTTGACTGATAGTAATATCATATTTTCTATGTTTTCTCTTAAAATCAATATATAAATACTCATTCAATAACAAAATGCCATATAATCTCCAAAATTAATCCTCATAAAATTAAAACAATGATTTGTTTATTTTATTATTTTATTGCCAGTTAGTAGGTTATCTGAATTATTGAACAATATCCTTTGCTTTATTTTCGATTCCCGAGTTATTAATTTAATCAAGAATTTGAATGATATTAAATGTTAACAACTTCTATTGAATGCCAACCAAGTAATTGAATTAATTTTAGTTCTTACATTTTTCCATCAATTCTGATAGTCTAAGCTAAAATCTTCCTAATAATCTAAATGAAAAGTTAGGATATATACTTTTTAGAGGATTCTTAGATTTGGAAAAATTTGTATTTTTCTTAAAATTTAGGTATCAAGGAATCCATAATGTCTTCTTTTCCTTCCAACTTAGATTAAATTCCTTTGAATAATTGATCCAAATCATCAGAACTTAATTCACTTTAGTTCATTATTTAGTTTTTAAAAGAAATTAATCATTTTTTTAATAATTATATAATAAAATTTACAAATTATTCAATAGTCTTTCATATTTTTAACGAAATATAATACAAATATTACCCATTAAATAGTATTGTTGAAAGACAAGAAATAACAAAAGTTTTTGATAAATACATTTATTTAAGTACAAAAAGGATGATAATGACATATGGGAATATTTCATTAAAGAATTACTATCATTTTTATTTAAAAAAAATAGAAATAAATAAAAGAATTTCTAATTTTTTCATAAAATGAAAATTTATTTATATTATGGAATGAATATAGTAATATTTTTTGATTATTTTTCATATATAATAATGCTTAATGAAAATAAAAAGTATGAATTCTGAAAGTATCATTCATTACCAAAGGAAGGATACTCTGTTAAATTAATTCTAAGAAAGCCGTCTGAACTTTTAAATTTCTAGTAGATTTCATCAACTTAACTTTCTAAAAAAAGCATCGTAGATTGTTTTACCTGCCTTGATTAAACCAGAATTATTGATGAATAAGTAAAGGCTTTCTTATTTTTATAAATGAAGGGTTTCTCTAATTACTTAAAGAAAATGATAAAAATGATCAGATTTGCTCACTAAGTATTTTTTAATGGTTGTTTAATCTTAAAATCTTAACCTCGATCTGAGACTAATCTATAACAATATAGGACTAGTTATCATTAAGAATTACACTCTATCTGGGTATTTCTCCACAAAATTCTCAGACATTTTTAAATTCTCACACAACATATAAATTAAATAAATATAGTTTTCATTATTGTTATTCTTCACCTTTTTTGACTATTTTCTCCCAATGCTATATTGTATCATCAATATTGGCTATGCAATGTTTGAGCTTATCCTCCAAGAACTCACTTAATAGCGCATAGCAAGGTCTAACAATCACCTTCAGAAAACCTATTTCTGACTTGGCCAGGACGTGTGGCTAAATATAAGAAATTCAATTACAATATGTAAATCCTTCATGTAAGGTTATTGTGGATACCCTAATTCACCTTCCAATTTATACTAAATGCTAAATTCTTGGTTGACCCTTGAAGACCATTAAATAGACAGATTAGTTTTTTTTCCTGCTCCTCCAAAATCACTTGTATGCATAATGTATCCACTCAAAATTTTGCAATCGTTAAAATCTTTAGGTCTATTTTCAAAGTCTTTCAACAAAGTAAAATGTTCAGACATATCTGTACTTAAAATATTGGCGATGAGTCCTTTTCTGAAATTTCTAAATTCTTATTGGTTGAGGTTTACAAGGATGTTGCTTTGTGGATTTTTTAGAATTTAAATAGTCAATGCTGCATGATGTTATTCAAGTACGCTTTTGTCATGATACCTCATGGCTAGATCACTCAAACTATTGATTTCAAAGACATTAGTTTTACCAGTATGTCCAACATCATGGCCAAAACTGCTAATCATCAATATGAATCTATTAAAGTTATCTATAATAGAGGCATTCGAGGTAAATGCTAATTCCAAACAGAAATAGTAAGCAGTTTGCATCACAGTAACACCATGATCATAATTGTGATACGGGTTATTGTTGACATTGTAATTGTATTCCATCTCTTTAATAAAGCTCTGCAAATTCTCAGGGGGTATTTAGTACTCATCTAGATGTCCATTCTTTTTTAGTATTGCCCAAACAACTCTATGCTTTTGAATTTGTGAAGTTAATTCCATAATGTTAAAGTCGAAAGTATCAATTAAATCATCTTAAATATCCAAAGAAAATTCGTTGAGGTCCAATTCTTAAATGGTGAGATATTTCGATCTCTATGGGGCTTCTGTTTTTCTCATCTTTGGTTCATTTTGAGTATTCTGGATATCTCTAATAGATTTAGATTTTTTTAAGATTAATTGTTATAGAGGCATATATAAAGATGCAACTGAATCTTTTACTTCTGGGTTGTTTTCTTCTAATTTGTTAACAAAATTGATTGTTTCATGTTGGATGAGTTATTTTCTGATTTTGGCTTTGATTTTGGAATCCAATTGATTACCAGATTCCAATTATTTAAATTGTTCTTTAACCCATCCCTTGATATTTTCAGTGAAGATCACTGCGAATCCTTTGTAAGTCTTCTCTTCAATTTTAAGGAATATTTCGTATTATTTCTCATTGTCCTTCATCATTTACCATTTATGATCTTGTAGATAGTTTTCAATATTGGATACAACATTTTGATCAAATATCTTGTTATATGATAATTGATTGGAGTGAATTAGATGCGAATTAAATTGTATGTTGAAATTGGATTTGATTTATTTAGGGATGGGTCTGGAGAGGAACAATAAGTGACCACTTTTATCGAATTCAAAAATGAGTGAATCGTTTGATCTTAGAAAGAACTTATAAAAGGCACTCTTATCAAAGCATTCTCTAATGAATCGAAGATATTTCTCATAGAATTGTTTGATCTCGGAATACAATCTTTGATCACTCTATTTTACTAGATTCATTTAATAGATTCTGAAACACACAGTTACTGTTTAATCTTTGAATACTATGTAGACACTCTCGGTATCCCAAACCTAAATTTCTTATTAATCTGTTTGTAACCTATCATTAAATTAAGAATACTTATCAATTTTATAGACTTGGCTGATGATGTTATACATTTTTTCAATGAGAACAAACTTAGAAGCTCTAACGAATGATATTCCAAGGTCTAGGATCATGTCAGCAATGGACAATGGACTGAAGAATTATACTTTAGCATTTTGAATGGTTTGCAATAAGAACATAGATAGAGTCTTGATTTCATCTATTAATTAGTATTCATTTGCAATTCTAATTTATAGAAATGAAATACTTTAAAATATCTTGAGTTTCAAGTTGTTTATTCTATTTTGAATGATAGATGAACACAACATTATTGGCATATAAACCATAAGATGATAGATAGTTGATGGACATTAATTTAGAACAAAAGGATGAGTTCTAAGAGAACCTAAATATTTTGTTCTATGGGATTGTTTCTAGCTCATCCTTAATGGTTTAATCAATCGGTAATTATTCTATATTGTCAGTTTTAGATTGATAAAGTTCCATTTCATTATTGGGATTTATGACAAAGAAACTAAAGTTGTCACAATTTAAGAGGTTCTTGCTCAATTCCTTAAGCAAACTGAAGATAGTATTATAGGAGACTGTTTCATCCATGAGTAATAGATGACTCTTCATGTAATTTGCAAATTAACATTTAACTTCCTTGTATGCCTCGCTGAGTTCACTTTCGATTTAGTAATTGATATCTAAGTTGAGTGATTGACCTCTTCCTATAATTGTAGGTGAGTGGATATTTTAGGGCGAATTCTGAATAAAAAGTGTGTTAATGTGTTCCAAAATTTCATTGACTTTTGGATCTATAGTTTATCCATCTTTAATTTTGGCTTGAAAATGAGTGATTAACTTTAAGGCTTTTTCCATTTCTGCTAGTGCATCAGTGAATTTGAGTTCATCATATTGTATACCCTTAATAAGATCGACATCAGTAATGCTAGATCTAGTTCGTTTCATTTGTCTCTGTATTTGCTGTTTCTCTTAGGGTGATTCATTTAGATAGTTTAAGAGACTGAATTTAATTTCCTCTTCGTCTTCATCATCTAAATATAATGTGATTGTTGTTACTTAGATCGTTGAGTATATTCATCAATTTTTTTTCTTTTGTTGTAAAATTGACTTTCAGGATTTACTTCTATTTAATATCGATTTAGTTGCTGTCCTCCAATTCTCGGATGATATGGAAAAATTTAACATAAGATCCCAACTATTAATTCATAATTAAAAAAATATTAGTTTCTAACATAATTGCATTTTAATTATAGCTCAATCGAAGCAGATATCGTTGAATTGAGGACCATCGATCAATTGAATCATACCATCATTATCAACTAAAGAGTTAGTTAGCATCAAAGGTTGTGGGTCATATAATTGTTCCATCTTGTCAATGGTACTGTCAGAATCCTCTCCCTTGACCTTTTTCTAACTAGGAAGCAATAGCTCCTCATTGTCTGATTAAATTAGATCCTCAAGAGCTTGTTTCTTATTTTTTATACTTTTAATATACTTGTAAACAATCATCCTATATTTATTACTAGCCCAAAAAGTAATCCTTCAACTTCTGGAACTTTTTATTCCCATTGAATCTAGTAATCTCATGAATTCAATCTTTACCTCTCTTGAACCAATTGATTTCTTAATTATTAGTTGCACTGCAATATTTTATTATTTTATTCAATCAGAATTTTGCACACCTTTTCTAACTCTTACTATTTGGTAATTATCTACTGGATCTATTTCTAATTTTTGTTTCATCCATAATAATTTTACATCTGATATGTTTTGGTTTCGATGAGGTTTCAATTCCATTATGGCAAACTAATCATCACCTTGTTCTCCTGATTTTCTCTTTATCTTCTTCAACAGATTTCTAACATAAACAATCATACTCACCGTTGATCCTTCTTAAAATGAGGGTGAATAAACTCATTCTCCTTCTAATCACTTCTTGATTTATGAAACCCATACATGTTCATCTAATCCCTATCAATTTCTCTCTCATTACCTATCTAACAAAAGATGCAAAATTCCTGTGCTTAAAATACATTGGCAACACTTGATCCTAAAAGGCTATTACGTTCTTCACCAAAAAACCTGAACCATCCTCATTCCACCCTACAATATCCTGTAATTGAGGATTCTGTGCATAAAAATAAATATCTACTTCTAAAATATCATAAGTTTTCTATAAAAATGCTGGAATCGAAGACTAACTGCGGGATTTCGACATTGATTATACGATATTTATATTATTAATTTCCAATTACAATATTAGAAATTCATCGAATGTTCTTTTCTTCCTTAAGATACTTCGAAATTCAATCTCACGAACATTCACAATTAAATGAACACTCCCCCAAAATAATTAATCTTTATTTAAAATTAAAAAATCAGATTATTCACAGTATCTAATCAATCTTTGATTATTTCAACATCATCAATGCTCCAACTTTAATCTTTCACCCCTTGATCTTCTCCTTTACTATTATACATTGTTTTCTTAGTGAGGATCAAATATCAGCACCCTATCCTCATTGTATGAGGAGTTTTAATTATTTAAAAGTGATGACGCTTTCCCTTTTATCCTGGAATTATGATTCTATTTCCCCTTACACTCATCTCTTGTTTTATAAATTTTATGCTAATATTCTCATATTCTATAAAAAGGATTCAATACTTTGATTCAAATGCTAGATAATTTCTAACATATTATCATATAAGATCCTAATTGTGAACCTTAGTTAAATTATTCAATAAATAGTTTTCACAGAATGGTTACCCTTTGTGACAAATTTAAAGATCTTCTATTTCCTTCTATTACAAAAATACAGATTATCATTTACTTTTTACTATTTTTTATTGTTATTCATTGCAAACGCTTTTTCATATAACCTTAATATTAAACAGATCTTAAACATGCTTTCCATTATTTTTTTAGGTCATTAATACCATTAGTTAGTTCAATTACTTTAGTATTATACAATTTTTCAATTTATTAGAGAATATTATTATATTTATTTATAAAATTTATGATATGAATTCATTCTTTATATTACGTAAATCATTTTTGAAATCAAATATTAAATTATCCTAAGATAATAATACTTCAAAAAATCAAACAATAATAACTGAAAATTAATCAATGGAACTTAAGTTCAATTAAAAT